CCTGTTGGAAGTCCCACTTCCACTTTATGATGGGTTGTTGCTGGGCTAGTCTCATTGGGTCTTAGAAGACCCTACATTTAATGGGCGATTTTGGTCACAAAGTACTTGGTGATTCTTTCTACCAGGGCCTCCTAGCAGGTTAGGGGCTGTTTTCCAACAATCTACAATTCCTCACTGCAGATGGCATGGCCTTGCTGCAGAACCCTGGGGCTTGCCTTGTGATTCTCTCACAGGAACTTGCCACAGGCTCCACATGGTGCCTTTCCTCCCCAAGGATACCTCTAATCTCAGGAGGCCTGTCAGATCGTATGGATCTGGACTCCCTGCCTGGTAGCCTGTGCTGGCTGCAGAGAGGTCTTTTCTGCTCCGGGATTCACTTAAAGTTGGCTGCCTTCTCTGTCACAAGGTGCATGAGTCAACAATATCTCTAGGTATCGAATATACTGACTCGAGAACTTGAAGAGGCTCACCAGGCCTGTTTCCTTCTTCATAGTGAGGTAAAAGATGCAATAATTTGTCTTTGTTTTGCAGATGTCCTGGTTGCTGGACCTGACCCCTGGCCTTCTGCAAATGTTAGAGTTGTGCAGGTTCCTGAATTGTTGCAGGGTTTAGCTCCAGCCCTCTGGAACACACGTGTCTTATAAAGGTCCCCAGCAAGCCAGTCATCTCTTGGTCATCTGACTCAATATGTCACTGATGAAATAGATGAATGTGTTGTTCTGTGGATGTCCAGCTGGCACAGGTGTGTTTGAACTTAATATGGCATTGGAGCAAAACTATTAATGTCTATTATTTCCATGGAAATGTGTTGTTTCTGATCTTTTGTTTTGACTGAAAGAAAAAAGAATGCCTTCCCCCAATCAATGGCTGTATACTATATTCTTGAGGTGGTATTGATCTGGTCTAATGAAGATGCCATATCTGGCACTGTGCCGGCAACTGGGGTTATTATACTTGAGATTGTACTAGTTTAGTGACCCTTCCTACTCCATGTGGTTTCTTCAGGGACCAGACTGGTCAAACTAATAAGGACTGAGAGGAGGAGGTAAATAGAATATGGCAATAAATCTCTATTCTCTTCTCTCCACAATATGACTTTACATTTATTTATACGTGACAGAAGTTAATTTGAGAGACTTCCACTTGGCCTTTTCCAATATGATAGCTCTTATTCTGCAGACCAAGGATGCAAGTAGGGGTTGGGCCAACCACCAAATAGGTCATTTCTATTTGAGTGAGCCCATGGATGCTGAGGATCTCTGTAAACTGGACATTGGTCAGGACTACATTTATTATCTGGCCCCCACAGGGCCCACTCTAACATGGGGGCCATGATGATTCAGGTCTTGGGCCATTAATGACAACTCATGACCTATGTCCAACCATTCTCAAATGTCTGGGTATTCCCTTTTTCCTAATGGGTAGTTACCTAATCATTATTGTGTATACTTGCCATGATATTGCAGTGTTTTTTCCCTCCTATGGACCCAGCCATCTCTTTTGACAGCAGTTCTGGGTCTGAAAACTGGCTTGCTCGGGTTCAGAAATCGGGCAAGGGATTATGACATTTTACTGGGGCAACTGCCCTCAGCTTTGAAGTTGCCCATCATTGACTTCTGCTAGTATAAGCCAAGTAGTACAAGCTGGGTGACTGCCCATCTATTTTGTCTCTAGAGACACTGTTATAGGAAGTATCTCATACCTCTCTGTGGTTCTGGCCCTCTTGGCTGCCACTCTGACCTTGCCATCAGGAGAGTAATCCTGACTTCCTGGCTTTGGATGGTTTTAGGTTGCCACCTGGCTCTGTTGTTTCAGAGTCCTATCATCCCTGTTGCTGCTATCAGCCAACATTGTTCGGTAGAGGCATCTTTATAGAAGAGTCACCTCTGAATTTTTTGTGATGCTAGTGCACCTCTGAACCTCAGGACCTTTGTCCATGGTGTTTCCTCTTGCCCTTCCAGCCGTAGTATATCCAGCATAACTGCTTCCCTGAGACTTTTAGCTCCATCCTTCACTGTCTGCCAAGGCAGTTCTGGATTTTAACTCCACTCAACTGGGCCATTTTTTAACTCAAGTGGGCCATCACTTTTTCCATGTTTCTGGTAGCCATGCAAGTAGCAAGTTTGCACTAACTCCTGGAATCTTTACTAGGGAATTAAATTCTGTAAGTTGGGGGAGTACTTCCAAGTCAAAAACTCTTCTCTATTCAATCTTATATTCTGGCTCCTTTCTTCAGGCATCCTCAGGATCTCCTCCAACTCCTATCAGTACCTGTGTACTATCTTATGGTCCCTTTAGTGTATAGTCTCTATCTTCCCTTAGCTGGGCCAGTGTAGTCCCAGCTGAGTTATAAGGATCCTGAGTGGTGCATGTATTGTCTTGCACAAGAGAAGTCTCTTTAATGTCTCCTATCATGGAGTAGGGTTGGGGAGTTAGTGAGGATTACGGGGAAATAGGTCTATAGACTAGGACTTTTCCCAGGAGCTTGTGGAATTAAAATCTTTTGGAAGGGGATCCAATTAGGTGTTGTATTTGATGTGTCCAATTTTCCCGATAAGGACCCTGACCTTGCATAACAGATCTGTCTTGGTCGTCTGTCTTTGAAATTCTGCTACTCTATTAAGTCCTGGCTTGGTCTTCATTCTCTCCTTTTTCCCTTTGATTCCTGCTGTAGGAAATGAGAATGCTGTATGCAACTAAAGAGGCCGTTTTCACATCTGGCTTTCAATTACCTGATACTTGCCCTCAGTGGTTCATTAACCTTCTGTAGGCATCAGTGACACTTAGAAAAGCCATCCAATCTTAGTGTCCTATAGCTACTGTCTCCTCTTTACATGGATATGTCAGTGATAACAGAGTCCAACTCTCCAAAATACAATTAAACCTATCATTTCATCTAATAATTGCATTTCTGTATGAGTAGGAAAAAAATGAGCTGTTATATCATTCCATTAGATGCCTAAGACTCCTAAAGACAAAAGGCCATTTAAGATTATTTTTCAGTTTAGTGAAAAAGTTAAAAAAATGTTTCATCCTTGAAATATGTTTGTCCTAAACGCTTACACACGTTAGTCTTAAGAAGAATCATGTTCAGGAATCCCAAGAAACCCAGACAGAAAAACATGCAATCACACAAGCCATTCGCCAATGACAAAGGAGTCAGCAAACTGTTGGAAAACAGAGCTTGTAATAATGAAAAAAGGACAGAGTTTGTAACCAATCACTTATTTTCTTTTAAAAACACATAACCACATTAACTTTTTGCTTTATACAACCATCTAGAAACTATAAAACAGTACCACGTTGTGCATTTAACCTACTTATCAAGAAGGGAACTCCACACATCGTAAGAATTCTACCCATATAAGAAGGAAAAAGGAGACAGCTAATAGCATAGTCACAGATACAACATGAGTCCAAGCAAGCATCAATTCTTTGACGTCACCTTTTCCATTTACCAGAGTGGAGAGAGTAAGAAAGAAAGCAAGGGAGAAAAAAAGAGGGAAAGAAGCACCCACAGAGGACTAATCACATTCCATAGTTACTTTTGACAACTATAGCTCAGGGTTTCATAGAATAGTATCATTTGACCAACACAATGTGGTAGGGGGGTGAAGGAAACATGAGTAGAGGGAGAGGGTTTGAAAAGACAGATACATTTTATACCCTATTCCCCTCCTAAATAGTCTTCATTGATACAAGCTTCTGTGCTAATCCAGAATATAGCAAGAAATTAATCTTAATGTGATAAAGCTTGGATTCTGCTCTTTTTGCAAATGTGAGTGGATCACAATTTTACTTTACACTTCAAAAGAATAACAATGCCATGATCAATTACAGCATTCTTTCAGGATTCCCCATGATCTTTCTCCCTATTCCCACCGTGCTGGTGTTGTTACAGGACAATCAGGGAAATTTGGGTAGGAACTTCAGGAAGTTTGGGTAGTGAGATGGAATCCTTGCTCTTTCTTATAAGTCCACACCTTTCTGGTAGTAAGTCTTCCCTCTGATTTGGGTGGTCCAGAGGAAAGGGCATAGGAAGAACTAAGGTAATGTGGTAGAAGTTTAGTCAAGTAACTGGTTTTGAAGGTATACAAGATGAGGCTGTAATTAGCAGACACACTGAATCCAAGGCAAACAGTTGGTTATTTGATTGTCCTCCTTAGGTTGATGGCACCATAAACAAAATGAAGGCGGCTTCGATATACTAATAAAATAAACCAAAGGTCTGCTACAAGGAAACATATTTTAGATGAAAATAAGTCTAACGATTCTTTTCACTTCAGGGGAAACACTCATCTTGTCCCTCTTACTTCCTCTTCCACTGTAAGTAAGCAAATATATGATGGAAGGTTGTTTTTATGGGGCAACTCAGTATCAGAGTTTTTTGCCAATTTCATACAAGAACGGCCATTATGAAGTGTACCAATCAGGAGGCTCATCTCCATTCCCAGGCAAACTACTCATATTGCTTAAATTAATCTCTTTCCAATCTAATGAGATGATTTTACTTTTTCATGTGTGGTGAGTAGAGTGTGGTTTAATGCCAGTTAAATTACTGGTCTGTAGCACTGACCATTACAAGCTTCTTAGGCTCTAAAATAATCAATTCTATCCCACATTATCACTGTGCTCTGACATTGTACAGATTGAAAGTATAATGCAGAAAGTTTGCTTTTAAGATTTACTATCAAGACTGATACCTGAAATGTAGAAATGTATTTAAGTAATTTGCAAAATCTCATTTTAACTCTCCTAATCATCATAAGCAAGAAATAAAATTTAGATGCACTATAAAATGAAATAAGCTGATAAATCTGATTTATTCTTCTTTACCTTTTTCTGAAGTGCTACCATAACTTGTATTGTCCTTACCTAGAAACTACTGATTTTATATGTAATGATGCTGGCTTTATTAGATTTGAGAAAAGTGTGGCAATTTTGTAGTTGAAAAAGCCATAGATTCAACATGATTTTTTTTAATCTGAGAAGCAATCTTAATTAAAAAAATTTAAATATGTTATATAGCAAGAAGTACTTATTTTCTGAGGCAGGAAAATTTCATGCAAATTAAGGAGAACTGTATTCTGAAATTTGTTTACCAAACAGTGCAATCACTTCAGAGAATCTTAAGTTTTTGAATAAAATAATGCCATGGATAGGGTTATTTCCTAAATTAGTTTCCTTAGGTTAAGAAGTTTTCCTAGTCATTGCTTAGGAAATTGCATTTGGGCATTATTTCCTGAATAATGCAAAGTTAATTAAAAAAAAAATGACGGGAAAATAAAGGCAGGTCTCTCCCAGCACAACCACGAATGGGGACAGCGAGGCATGAGTGAGGCCCTGCTTCTGGCTGCCACAGTCCAACACCCGCCCACTCTTCTCCACCATCTCCACAATCATTTTAATTTGTTCACCTAAATGTCTGCTACTCTGATGCCAGTACAACTCAGTAACAGGTTACTTGTTTTTTATTCTTAACTCGCCTTAGTTCACCTCTTAAGAAAGGATGCACTGCTTTCTGTAGTTATGAATGTACTTTGGTCAGACTATGGTGGAAGGAGACCCTAGATCAACCACTTACTTCTGGTAAAATCTATTAAAATCTTAAAACTCTCATGCTGAAAACTTTGGGGAGTTGCAGATCCTGGGGGCTAGGCCCCATTTTCCTTAAGAGGCCATATAGGTTACTGATGAGGAGACTGGCATACTCTCACAGCATTGCTTCAGAGTCGGAAGCTGCTCTGAAGCTGAGCAGCTTTCTTAAGTAGAAAAATGAGAGACACTGGAAAAGAAAGTTGTATATGGGTTTTCAACTTCTTTCCATTTTCCATAAAATTACCATTATAACCTAGTTAATGATGACTTAATTTTATCATTTTATTGTCTCTCTGTATGGCATGAAATCATCAATGATTCCATTTTAATGGTATAGGCAGCCTTAAGCAAAGGTGCGTGTTTGTGAGTAGAAAATAAGCCATTTTTCTTTGTCTTCTGATTTCTCTATACATATCAATGAACTTTATTCATTTAACACTTCCCTTTTATTCCTTTGGGGAGTATTTAAACTGATGATATAAACTGATTCTCAAATAAAATAAAACTAGAATTTCTAAACCTAAAATCAGATGAAGTTTTTACCTTTGGTTAGATTGCTACTCCTTTAAAATGACTCTGTGATATTAATTTCCTAAGAGTTCTGAGAGTTTCAGTGTACAGACATCTCCAATAAAACATTAGGTAGGACGCAGCATTGGCAACTGGTAGGGCATTTAAAACTTAGAAGAGAAAAATGCACATTGCCTTTTTTTCAAGGAAGAAAATTTAAATGTAAACTCTGTCTCCCAAACTGCTTCCTCTTGATGAGGAAAAATCCGCTTTTCTCTCTACAGCTTCATGAGGCACATAAAGCTGTGTATTTAAATACTTATTTGAGCATCTGTCATGGTAAGCTGAATGTTACATAAGTCTTCTCATTCTTGAACAGACTATGCTAAAAGGACAAACACATCAGAAAAGGAACAAACTCTAACATTGTATTATCTATGAAAAAAATAATACTGATTAGGGTCTAGAATCGTAACAGTTGAAGAAAGATCAAATTGCCCATAGGATACACTGAAAGAAAAACACTGGGGAGTTCAAATACCAGAAGTCAACTCTAAGATTTTACGTGTCATTCTATAGTGCCGCTAACAGAAAATGAAGTTGACAATTCAAATTGCTCTGGATACACATTAGTACCACCAGTTTTATTTGTACAAGAAATAACTGGTCCACTGGACTTATCCAACTCAGTAATAATTACTGTTACTTCTTGACAGACCAGTGATATTTCCCCCATAGTTTTAAAGTACAAAAACAAAATAGTTAGAAAAAAAAATCCCAAGTATAAGTAATGAAACCTTTAATCTATTAAAGGTCACTAAATTATTACCACTGATTATTATAAATGATTATTTAAACTAAAAAAAAGTAATTAAACTTTTCCTCTTCAGTTTTGGGCCAAAGAACATGCTTGGCAAAACATAAAAAAAAACAACAAAAGCCAAAAATTTATATGATTTTTCAGAAAAAAAAAAAAATCTCACAATTTGGAAAGGGAAAAAACTTTGGAAGCTTGTCAGAATAAAAATGGAATAAACTCCTTTAAAAATGAACTATTTGTCAGTTAATTGATAGAATTTTGGTAGTAACAGTAACTTTAATATAATCTACTAGAATCACAACAGGTGTAAGGAAGACTTGGCAATACGTGGTAGAAGAGCTACTGACCACGGGGGTATTGTAAGGGGCAAGTGACCATGTATTTTCAAGACTAAGTAATGATAATAACAGCTGCCCTTCCACTCATTTGTCTCTTTGCCTAAGATTAAGCTGAAAATGGCAGAAGTAATTTACTTTCATGAATCCACTGATGTTGATGCTGGAATCTTCATCTGGACCTGGGGGGGATGGGTGGATTAAAACATACTTCACTTTTTCTGGAATTTATATTAATTTTGTTAGATAATGAAATGCTCAATTTAATGCCAACCACATTCAAGGAAGCAAAATCCTTTAAGGTTTGGGGGCTTATTTGGATGACTTAGGAACGTAGGAAAGAAATTAGACAAAGAAGTAAAAATGGGCATTGTGCACAGACCATGAGAGTCTGATAATGTCTAAGAAATATACCTTTTGTTTACACCAAGTTTAGACCCCAAAAATCTTAAAAGCAGGTTTTTTTTTCCTCTCATAGGAGGGAATGAAATCCAATGTTCATCCTTTAAAACTGCTGGAAGAAATGGTTGCCAAGGTCTGTTTTACTCATGTAATGTGACAGAAGAAGGATAATTTGTTCTTTGCTCTCAAAAATATGGTTTCCCCAAGACAGACTTTTAATTTGACCAAATTCTGGCTAAAGCAAGTGAATCCAAAAGAAAAACTATCCAGTAAGGTGTAAGGAGTCTCTGAAATAGCTTTATCTTCTCGTTCAGAGTCAGTAAAGTTTATACTTCCATTACCCTAAATGCTGAAGCTTAATAAGGCATAACTTCAGTTGTTATGGTTGGAGTATGGGCAAATATATTCCACATTTGTTCCTTAAAAAAAAGTATCAGACCTCTTAAAAAATTTCAACCAGTTACGTAGAAGTATATAGATGCTTTGTTATGAAAGACATGCTCAGGATTCTAAAGCAGCAGCAACTTAAAAAATCAGTAATAAAACTTTGGCTTAAAATTAAAAAAAAAAAAGAAAAGAAAAGAAAAGAAAAAGTCAAACTGGTGCGAGTTGTCTCATGAAAGAGGTATTGTGGACTAAACCCTCACATGCTGTCCAACATTAGTTTCCCCTGTCGTCTTTCACTGTTACCACCTTCATTGCACAGGAGTTATAGCATTCTTTTATGGTTAAGTTTCATAAATAATGAGAAAACTATATGCAACAAATACATCATATTTCCCGCCCACCCAGTAACCCTCCCCAAAATAAGAAAAGTTACATCAAATTAAAAAGTAGCTTCATGAATGAAGGTACTGCTCTAAGTTGCACTTTCCCTGCAAGTGCGGCCAGTGCATCTGCGCTGGGTATGAAGGAAAGGAAAAAATTCTCCACATAAACTGACAAAAAATTTAAAAATCAATGTCCGGTTTCAACCAGTCAAAACCGGGCCCAGCGGAAGCCGAGGTATCTCGGTACCGTCCCATCAGAGGGTCCTTGCAATGCCTGTTCTTCCATCCTGATAGGTATCTGTGTCCTTGTGATTGTAAACAATCCATAAGATACTATGTTTTTGTTCCTTAAAATGTCCTCTGATTGGCAAAATGAAGTAAATATTTGTTTTAAAAATAGAAAATGAAAATTAAACCAGAAGAAAAGAAAAGAAACACAGTGAGCTTGTCTGGAGTCCATAGGATCCGATCTGGAAGAGCTCGGAAATGTGTTATGTGTCTTCTCCTGTTTTCGGCTGGAAAGGTACTAGAGGTTGCGTTGGTCGAGGAAAGAATTGTAGAGTAGGAAAACCAAAGATGTTAATCTAGACTTCAGAGGATTCAAGTGTTAGCTTCATCATCTGTGTCTTCTATCAATACCTTAGTGTCACGAGCCTTGGATCTAGTGGAATAAGGGGGAAAAAGGCACTTAGTCCATTATTAAAATATAAACATGTTCACAGTATTAGGTACATACCCCATCTTATCAACATTAAAAATACATCTTAAATGGGAATTATATATTGCACCAAGTTATGCCTTATGGACTATTCCTGGAGGTTCATGCTCAATTTTGGGTATTACTGGGAAAACATTAAGAAACTAGACTACAACCACAAGACGGTGACAAGAAAAATGGCCAGTCATGCATAGCAGAGAAAGAAGCAATCTAGAAGAAGAACTGAGTTTGATCAGCCATAAAGCATAATGAAATCTTGCCATTTGCAACAATATGGATGGACTTTGAGAGTAAAATGCTAAGTGAAGTAAGTCAGAGAAAGACAAATATCATATGATCCTACTCACATGTGGAATTTAAGAAACAAAACAAGTGAACAAAAAAAGGAGAAAAAAAAGAGACAAAAACCTCAGACTCTTACATACACAGAACAAGCTACTGATTGCCAGAGGGGACACGGGTGGGAAGATGGGGGGAAATAAGAGTACACTTATTGTGACGAATGCTTAGTAATACACAGAAATAGTGAATCATATTATTCACATAAAATCCTAGAAACGTGGGGTCCCTTGACAAGACTTCAAAAAATGTCGGAACTGGATTGGTGGGGGCGCCAGCATGTGGTGATGTAATGAAACTGCAGATTCAAGTGGATGAAAAGGGGAAGATTGTGGACGCCAGGTTTAAAACATTTGGCTGTGGGTCTGCTATTGCCTCTAGCTCATTAGCCACTGGATGGGTAAAAGGGAAGACGTGCTGGCCGAAGACACAATCAAGGCTGCCCTAGCAGATTACAAACTGAAGCAAGAGCCCACAGGAGAGGCTGAGAAGGGGGAGGAGAAATGAGCCCTCGGCAAAGCATCTAGCGGGCAGACCTGCTGTGTGTCCACCCACCGCGCCGTCGCTACAGATGTTCAGAACCCCCACCCCACCACAGTAAAAGAGCTCGGAGTCACGCGCAGCGCTTGCTGGTCACGTGACCAGTCTAGTTTCACCTGAAACTAATAAAACACTATGTTAATTTACTTGAGTAAAAAAAGAAGATCTGAGTTTGAGTACTGATTGTATGATGTAACTTTTTGACCGTTATTATTTTCATCTCTATACAGCAGGAATAATAATACCCATTTCACATAACAGTACTCTTACCTCATGGAGACAGTATCAATATCAAGTGAGAAAATGGATATAAAAAACATAAGTATGAGATAAATATGAGGAATTATGATGAGCACTGATAGAAATAGTGCCATTTGAGGTGCACATGAAACTAGGTGAGTAAACCAGCAGAAGATAAGACCTAAGGAGAGGCATGACAGCTGTCTTCAAAAGTTGACAGGGTATGATGTAGAAGAGGGAGGAGACTAAGACATGGTAGCCCAACTAGGACCAACTGGTTAAAGTTACAGAGAAGCATGTTTCAGCCTAACATAAGCTAGCCACCATAATGACCATCCAACAATAAAATTAGGTGCCCCATCGAGTTATAAACTTCATTATCACTGACAATTTCCAGTCAGCATAAGATGGCCATCTAATCAGGAGGCAATGGGAGACACTCCTGTACTAGATGAGAAAGAGGATTTGATAATACTAAAATAATCTGCAGTTCATAAGCCCTATGAGGTACAAGTGGTCCTTTGTGAAGTGGGTGTCATTATTTCCACTTGACAGAGGTAGAAATTGACATTCAGCAAGGTAAAGGATGTGCTAAAGGCTGCGTGAGTCACCGAGTGAGTACTCAAATTCCGAACTTCTTATTTTAGATTTCCTGCTCTCTCCATTGCACATAACCTGTTCCATTGTTCTAAACATCTTCTTCTGGTTGCAGTCTACTATCTCAGTGTTTTTCCACTTCACACTTGGAATTGAACATAATGGTCTAGCGCCAAAGAGCGTCCCTGGTTCTGAAGCAGAAATAGTGTATGTTTAGACTGCCCTCTGCTGGTCACTGACAAGGATAAGCTCAACGACACAACTGCCTCCAGTCCTCCCGTCCTTCGCCGCACTTACCTTGTTCACCCCACATCCCTCCCAGGCCCTCCTCCTGCTTCTTCAAACTCTGCGTCCTTACTACAATAGTCTCATGCTTTGTTTTGTTGTTCTTCCCAATGACCTCGCTGGCCCTTCCTTTCTTGCTCCTTTCGTTTATTCCTTTTTTCCTTTTCTCTGTGTTTCTCAGGCTTAGCTCCCTGCTTTTCTTTTCTCTACCTGTCCTCTTCAGAGAACTTCTAAATTCTGTCTGAAGCTTGGGCAATTTCTCCTCTGCTCTTCTATACCTATGGGTTACTATTACCACCTCCTATTTTTTTAGGTCCTTGAAAACATCTGCTTATATTATTTTTAGTCCTATTGTAAAGCATCTTAACCCAAGTCCTCCATGTCTGATACTTCAGAATACCATGGTGGCCTTCCAGTTGGTTTTCTGGACTTTAGGGTTCCATTTCCCAACGTATCTTGCACAGTGGCATTAAAGCTTCTGAAAATACTACTTTCATGTCATTCTACCACGAAAAACATTCTCCAAAAAAAAAAAAAAAAGAAGAAAAGAAAAACAATCTTTGAATCCTTCCTACCTATATGATCAAGCTTGTATTTTCCAGCCTTTTATAATCATTTTTCATCTATTCAGCTACAGGTTCTGTTTGTTTGTTTTTTCTTTTTTTCACTATAGTTCTAGTCACATGGCTTCCCTTCTGCCCCTAATTGTCTTTACTGTGCCTCTGGCCTAGTCAAGTGTTCTCTTATCCTTTAGACAACTGCCCACGCTCAACTTAAGTCTCCCTCGTCATTCCAATCCACTGTGAAATCTGTTTCTAAATTCCAAGTGCAGCCACAATACAGTCTACATTTATTGTTTCTTTTAGGATCATACAAAGTTAATGGCTTATAAAAATACTATTTGGGTATTTTGGTAAGAAAATAAAAATAATAAATACAAGCTATTTATATGTAAGAACTTTTTCTGTGAGGAAACTGGTCTAAATCCCATGTCATAACCACTCTATAAGCAGGGATCATATTAATTTCAATTTTCAGGGGAAGGGCAATATAGAGAATTTAGGTAATATGGTCAAGGTTACATAGAGGCCAAGTTGCAGGGCCAGGATTCCTAAAGTTTGTAACTTGAAAATTATTTGTATACAAAACATACTGAAGAGTCAAGTAAATTATGCTCCAACAAATTTTCCCCAGTGTACTTTTAATATCAAATTCGTAGCATTAATGCATTAATTAATGTATTAATGACATTTTACTCTCTGTGTTAAGACATTCTATAGGTTGGATTCTATGAAATTGCCGCTCTTGCTGTTTTTGGTAGGTGAAAAATGGTTGAATGCCAGGATTTCCATGTGGTTCAACCTGATACCTTTTTGGCTTAAATGTTAACCAGTGTCAACACCTGAAGGAAATTGGTCTCTGAAAAGCAGAATCCATACATACTGAGAAGCGAGGCGAGGCCGGCGCAAGGATATGCTCTGGCTGTACTTCCATGGCCGGTTCTTCTGTCGGTTTCGTACCCCGTCATCCTGGTCCATCATCTGTTCTAGGAGTGTCTGGTCATCTGCATTCAGAGGGGCCACAGAGATGTCCCGCACGGCACGGAATTCACCACAGTTATTCAGATGTTCATTCTCCAGGCGGAAGAAGTTCCACACAAATCGCCTTAGCAAAATGGGGTAAGTAAGCAAATTATTTATAAAATCTGAGTTATCATAACCTGTAACCCTCCCAGTATTATCAAGTTTCCACTCAACGAAATAAAAATAAGGAATGAAGGATTAGGATATTAGAACTGGAAAAGATGGTGTGGGGGTGGGTGGGGAGGGAACTAGAATGGTTTAGGCAAAGGGGGAAATTCCAGTGACTAGAAGGATATGTGTCTGCAGTTCTAGGGAGAGTCTGGGGCTGGAGAACTGCACAAGTCATGGGATTAGGAATAATATAAGTGGAGGAAAGAAGTGGGCAGAGGATTAAACCCTGGAACATTCCAACATTTACAATTTGGGAAGAGGAACAAGAACCACTAAAGGAGTTGAGAAGGAATAGTTAGGAAGATGTAAGCCTCTAAGAAATGAAGTGAAAAAAAGTGCCTTGCTGAGAGATAAAGTAAGGTAGGTACAGAGAACTGAATGCTGGATTTGGCAAACAGGGAGGCAGTGTGATACAAGAGCACAGATTCTGAAAGATGGTCTAGATTCAAATCATGACTCCACCATTTACTGAGTATAACGACCTGGGATGAGTTACTTATGCTTCAGTGTCATGGGCAAAATGGGATAGTAACAGTATCTACCTGAAGATTGTTGTGAGGATTCATCAGTTAATACACATAAAATGCTCAGAACAGTGCCAGGCACACGGTGGGCAATACATGAGTGTTTGCTGCTATTACTGTTATTATTGTAGATTATTAACAAAAGCAATTTAGTTTGAGTATTGGGGAAAAAAGACTTGAGTTGAATTAAAGGGAGAATGGAGAGGTGTGAGATAGCGGAGATACCAAGTACAGACATCTTTTGAAGAGTTCTGCTGTAGAGGAGACAGAAACGGGCAAGAGTTGGAGGAGGAAAGTAGATTCAAAGGAAGTTTTTGCTTTTGTTTTCATGGGTGACAGGACATCTGATTCTACTTTTAAGCAAATAATTTTTAAAGAAGTGAAATAATCAAGAATTTAAAAAGTGAGTTTTTTTTTCTTTACTAGAAAAAAATGTTTTTTAATTCATAAAGCAGCATCCTATGTGGAAGAGGAAGAAGTGGGAGGGGAGTCAGTCTTATAGTGATGGAGAGTCTCAGGTCCTAGACCTAGAAATTTGGGAAAGTGAAGACGAGGGTTGACACATGATTGAGAAGGAGCACTAACAGCAACAAGTATACTGTTTCCAGATTCAATATTTATCTTTCAGGTTTAATCTTATTTTATCAGAGTATTGTGATAGATGTGGCCATCCTGACTCAGAGGAATGCTATAAACATGTCTGAAAATACCTTTATTTTCCTTTGTGAAAGATATTTTCCATGGAGAAAGAGCTCTTTTTCCATGGAGAAAGAGCTCTTTTTCCATGGAGAAAGAGCTCTAGGTAGACCGTCATTTTCTTTCAGCACACTGAAAGTATCATTTTAATGACTTCTGATTTTCATTGTTACTGTTGAGAGGTCAGCAGTCAACCTAACTGCCACTTTGACATTAATCCTTTCTTTTAGGCTGCTTTCTTTAAAATAAGCATTTAAATTGAAGTATGACATAGATCTACAAAATTTTGCAAATCACTAAGTGGGGCACTTGATTACCGTAAAGTGATCACCTTGTGTAATTACCACTCAGAAATAAAAAGTATAATATTATACACCCAAAGCTGCCTTTATGGCACTCTCCTATGTTCTAGAGAGTTTATTGATTTACCTTTCATATGTAGTTCTGTAGTCCACCTGGAATTGATTTTGTATACAGTAAGAGTCAAGATTCGTTTTCCCCCCGTATGGATATCCAGTCGACTTATTATCATTTATTAAAGAACCTCTTTTTCCACACCATTATTTAACTACTTTTGTCAGAAATCAGGTAGTGTCAATGTATGTATGGCTCTGTTTCTGGACTCCCTATTCTGTTCCAGTGTACAATTATCTATTCTTTCACTAATACCAGACACTGTCTTAATTACTGTAGCTATATAGTAAGTCTTGATATTTGAGAGGATAAGTCCTTTAACTTTTTTCTTTTCAGCATAGTCTTGGCTATTCTAGTCTTTTTTTTTTTTTTTTTTTTTTAAATTCACTTGTTTTTAGAGACAGAGAAAGCAAGCAGGGGCTGGGGGACAGAGGAGAGGGTGAGAGAAACCCAAGCCACTCCACACTGAGCACAAAGCCTGAGGCAGGGCTCTATCTTACAACCATAAGATCAGAACTGCACCAAAACAAAGAGTTGGACGCTCAACTGATTGGCCACCCAGGCACCCCTAGTCTAGCTGTTCTTTGTCCTGTTTCCATATAAATTATAGAACTGGCTTGTCAATTTTTGTACACATAATCATTCATTAAATTTATTCCTAGGTATATGATATATTCTGATGCTATTCAAAATGGTGTTTTTTTAAATTTCATTTTCTAATTATTTGGGATTGTTTTTTAGAACATTAAATTTTTATTTATACTGACCTTGTATTCAGGAATGCAGCTACACATATTCTAATAGCTTATTTGTAAATTCTTTTGAATTTTCTGCATATGCAATCATGTCATGGATGAATAATTAGTTTTATTTTTTCCTTTCTAATTCTTTTTTTTTTTAAGATTTATTTATTTGAGAGAGAGGGCACGCATGCGAGGCAGTGGGGGGAGGGGCACAAGGAGAGGGAGAAAGAATCTCAAGCAGATTGTTGATGGAGTCCAACGCAGGGCTTGAGCTCACAACTCTGAGATCACAACCTGAACTGAAACCAGGAGTTGGATACCTAACAGACGGCGCCACCCAGGTGCCACTCCTTTCTAATTCTCACAATGTCTCCTCCCCACCCTCCACTACACTAGCTATACTTGCAGTCTGATGTTAAAATGAAGAGACAACATGCATAATAATCTCACTCCTGATCTCAAGGGAGAGCTTACAGTGTTTTACCACTAAATATGATCTTATTTATGTTTTTTGTAGGTAATCTTTGAATTATTCTTGAACATGTACTGACTTTTCTCAATGGTGTTTTCTACACACATGAAGGATGTCCCCCCTTTATTCTATTAATGTGGTGAGTTAACACAGATTAATTTTTAAATGTTAAATGATTTTTAATATTAAAACTCACATTCCTAAAATGAAACTAACTTGGTTGTGATGTATTATGCTTTTTATATGTTGTTGGACTCATTAGCTAATATTTTCTTCAGGAGTTTTGCATTTCTCTACATGAGACAGACTGGTTGGTCTTTCCTGGAATGTCCTTGTAGGTTTAGATATCAAAGCCATGCTGGTTGCACAAAATAAACTGGGAAGTGTTCTTTTTTTTTTTTTTTTTTTTTTTTAATTTATTTGACAGAGAGATCACAAGTAGGCAGAGAGGCAGGCAGGCAGAGAGGGAGGAAGCAGGCTCCCTACTGAGCAGAGAGCCCGACTCGGGGCTCGATCCCAGGACCCTGAGACCATGACCTGAGCCGAAGGCAGAGGCTTTAACCCACTGAGCCACCCAGGTGCCCCAGAAGTGTTCCTTTTATTGCATCTTTCCTCTGGCAGAGTTTTATATACACTGATAATTCCTCCTCATATATTTGGAGGAATTCCCTGGGCCTACAGTTTTCCTTATGAGAAGCATTTTTTTTTAAAGATTTATTTTAGAGAGAGAGAGAGAAGGAGAGAATTTCCAGCAGACTCCCTGCTGAGCGTAGAGCTGATACAGGCTCCATCTCATGATTGAGATTATGACCCTGAGCTGAAATCAAGCTGGGTGCTTAACTTACTGAGCCACCCAGACATCCCCCTTGTGAGAAAGATTTTAATATGAATATGATTTCTTTAATACATATAAACCTATCGGATATTCTATTTCTTTCTTGACTTTATTTACTTAAATTCAGTTAACATATAGGGCATTATCAGTTTCAGAGGTACAGTTCAGTGATTCACCGGTCTTATATAATATCCAGTGCTCATTATATCAAATGCCCCCCTTAATGTCCATCTCTTTATTGGTTTTAATAAACAGTGCTTTTCAAGGAATTTGTTCATTCCAAAGTTTTTACTCTATTGGCATAAAGCTGCTCATAATATCATCTTACTTTTTAATTTTTTTTTAAGAGAAGGGGAGTGAGGAAGGGGTAGAGAAAAAAGGAGACAGAGAGAATCTTAAGCAAGCTCCATGATCAGCATGGAGCCAGACGCAGAGCTCGATATCACAAGCCCAAGATCATAACCTGAGCTGAAATCAAGAGTCAGACACTTAACTGACTGAGCCGCCCAGGTGTCCCTCATCTTACTTAAAAAAAATATATATATCTTGGGGCGGCTGGGTGGCTCAGTGGGTTAAAGCCTCTGCCTTCGGCTCGGGTCGTGATCTCGGGGTCCTGGGATCGAGCCCCACATCGGGCTCTCTGCTCTGTGGGGAGCCTGCTTCCCTCTCTCTCTGCCTGCCTCTCTGCCTACTTGTGATCTCTCTCTGTCAAAAAAAAAAAATATAAAAATAAATAAAAATATATATATATATATATATATATCTTGAGGATTTTTTTATTTGTAATTTGTGCCTTTTTTGCTCTAGATTTGGCAAATTTCTTTCGTACAAAATTAGCTTTAACGCTTTGCTTACCTTGGGGTACCTGCTTTTACTTAGATTTTAGGCTATCTTATTAGATCACTGATGTCTTTAGGAAGGTTTAAAAGACAATTCCTCTGGCATTTCCTTTGTTTCTAGTGAAAAAGCTGCCTGAATAACCCAAAATGTCAAATTGCAAATAATAATTCTCAAAAGATTTTTATTTTAATTTCTGTTCTAAAACTTTTTATTTCCCAATTTCCACTCATAACCCTTCTAATGGAGCCCAATTCTAAAAAAAGCTTATAAGCCATCATTAGTTGTATTTTTAACTTTGTTAAGAATTAACCTCTTAGACCTTCAAGTAGGATTTTCCAACTTTGAGGCTAATGAGAAGTTTGAGAAAAGCTGGAAAATATAAGCCTTTCAAGTATAAATACTGTTTTAATAAATTCTAATTTATAAGTATTGGGTGTCTTCTAAGGGAAAGAAACTTTGATAGACTTTCTGGTAGTTTGCTTACCGGAAAACCTCAAGGGGAGCAAAGACAGTAGCAATGATGTCCCCAGAATGAGGCGACAACGTCATGGAGGTAATTGAGATTTGGACAGTCCAAGCAAAGCGCAGAATCACATCCTCTATGATGGCACAGTAATAATAGGCCTAAGGAATAATAAGCAAATTGAGTACACTTACCATTATGTTTCTCACAAATAAGCACATCTATCACAGCAACAAGAGTCACGTATGTCCCACCAACAAGCATAGGTTAAAGAGGAAAAATGATTTTTATTTTATTTTCTATTTTAGAAAAATCTCACTAATTTATATTCTTAAATAGTGCAATATCAAAATGAAGTTTTATTGAATTTCATTAATTACTTAACAACTATATTTTATTCTCATAGTGTATGCCAGGCTCTCTTCTAAACTTCAGAAATATAAACCAGATGAGATCCTTGATCTGATTGAGATTATATATTAATATGTACAACATATGCTAATAAAGACTCAAGAGCAAAACTATTAGCAGATTAACTGTGTTATTTGCACTTTTATTCTCATATTGCCTTACTCTGCATTTGAAGGAGTTTTACCTTGTTTTTCAAGGTTGTTAAATAAAATGAAGCTTGGATATCACAAACATGGGTTGAATTTAAGGAATGTACTATTTTTATGTGGGAAAGACAGCATTCAAATTCTTATAGGTATTAGTATCCTATTTAGGAGTCCAGTTTTAGCGACACAAAAGTTTCAAGTATACAAATTGCCATCAGACTAGAACTGTAATTCATGGATTTGTTTCTTATTAATCTCTGGATAATCAGCTCTTTAAATATATGTATTTAAAGGTTGTGAGATCTTATGGAAACTAGAAATGCCACGTGTTTATACCATTGCATTTTTTTTTTAAATAACAAAGGAGTATTAGTCATGTTAGAAGGCTATTAACAAAAAAAAGAGCAGTCCCCTTGCCCACTTCTCTTCTCATTCTCTAGGCACAATCAATTTCAGGACTTGTAGCCTTCTCTCCTAGTAATTATCCTCCATATTTCTAAATAATGTGTGTATATTGGCATATCTTGATTAATCAATGGGAGATGTTATCCACTGCTGATTAGGATGAATTTTTATGAAGATTTTAACATACTTACATACCCTCCCTGTTTCTTCCCCCATCCATCCAATACAGTGATAATGCAGTTTTTGGATAAATTCACATCCAGTGAACTCATCAGTGAAGAACTGCAATTTCGTGTTACTTTAAGTCAGTCTTAACATGATCCACAGTTGACTATGCGGGAGCTGATGTTACCAAAAATGTGAAAGTGTTGGGAGGAATACACTTAACGTGTGGTCCAGAGACATAGAAAAATGAAGTTTTAATATGGAGATAACAAAAATACTCCCTGGACCAGGATGTGGTACTCAGCAATACATACTATTAATCCCTAGGAACTGATTTTAAGATTCATTTCACTGTGTTCTTAATTTTTAAATGAAGCTTCACTGGACTCCACCAATAGCTTTCCTTCCCTTTTTGTGTAAATGAATTTTATTCCAGTATTTTTCTTTTTAAGATTAAAAGGAATGTGGCGATCCAGCAGAACATTTTTCTTATAAATCTGCAAATTATAATGTAGGAAACCATATACTGTATTTCCTAGGGTCATGAAAATATACAATAAGGAAACTGAATGAAAAACTATCCACTAATTTAATTACACAGAAGCCAATATGTTAGGACTATTTAAAAGGAGGCATGGATTAACATTTATATGAAAATATGAACAGTTTATCTAAGCAATCAGCATGAGAAGTAAACGTATTACATTGTTCAGTAAGGCAAGAACAATGTAAGGAGCAATAAGGCATAACATTCTGGTGAGCACAAAAAGACCATAATTTACCTGAACTCATGTCTGCTCTCTGACTTGTACTTGACATTACTGATTTTCTTACTTTCTTTATAAAAAAAGTTTTTTGTAAAGTAATTTCTATACCCAATGAAGCTTGAACCTACATCCCTGAGATCAAGAGTGGCATGCTCTAACAACTGAGATGCTCCTTGATTTTCTTTTCAAATGAGATATATAAAGATATGTTCTAGTCCGTTGTTGGTCATATGTTCTAAATCTGCACATTGGGATTACTGTTATAGCTTATGTAAAAAATGATCAGTATAAATTAAAACCCTTCTTTCTGTCTTCATTTGCTTATCTAAAGTTACCCGATATATCATTCTTTGTATGACTCTCCTACTTTAGTCCTCACTTTATTAAAACAGCTTTCACTATTCATCAACTGAATATTACGTATTCACACACTTTTCAAAGTGTAGTTTTGAGGTATTGGTGACATTCTGACATAGTATGAATTATTAGTGACCCAATCTATATATCCCTCCTCATCACAGAATTTCAGAACTGGGAAAGGATCAAGAGATTATCTGGTAGAAGAGAATATACTATAGTAAAGTTGCCTAAAGTTATGTAGCTAATTTAGTGAGACACCTGAGATCAAAATTCACTTACTAGGATTCCTAGTTCATTGTTAAATTTCTTTTATTATCTGAGTAATGATACTTTTGGTCTCTCTCTCTCTTTTTTTTTTTTTTTAAGATATTATTTATTTATTTGACAGAGATCGTAAGTAGGCAGAGAGGCAGGCAGAGAGAGAGGAAGGGAAGCAGGCTCCTTGCTGAGCAGAGAGCCGATGCGGGGCTCTATCCCAGGACCCTGGTATCATGACCTGAGCCGAAGGCAGAGGCTTAACCCACTGAGCCACCCAGGTGCCCCACTTTTGGTCTCTTTTTAATTTAGGCTCTCTTACCCTTTTATTCATATATAAATAATTCCTAAGGAATTATCCATACATTTTCAGATTGGCACTTTACTTTAACAAAAATTGGCTGAAATAAATGAAAAGAGACACCTTCTTGACGTATCAAAGATTCAGGCACTTCCTTTCCTTTGTGCTTTCACAGCACTGCTGACTCAGTCAAGTGTTAATTTAGTCATTCCACAAATACTAAGTCTACTATATGCTAGGAACTATGCTGGGTAGTGAGGGATATGGATACCTAAGCAGTTAATTATAAAACAATGTGATAACTGCTATAACAGAAGTTTGTAGAGGCTAAAATGGGATTAGGACAAATGGCTAAATATGCTTAGAAAAAGAAAGGCTTTTTAGAGAAAGTAATCCTTAAACTGACTTTTTAAGAGGAGGAACTGGAGAGGATGTGGAGAAAAAGGAACCCTCATGCACTGTTGGTGGGAATGTAATTGGTGTAGTCAACTGTGGAAAACAGTATGAAGAAAAAGAAATAGAAAGACCATATGATCCAGTAATTCCACTGGGTATTTACCCAAAGAAAATTAAAACAGTAATTCGAAAAGATATCTGTACTCCTTTGTTTTACTGTAGCATTATTTACAACAGCCAAGGTATGGAAGCAATCGAAGTGTCCACTGATAGACGAATGATTAAAGAAGATGTATATATATATATATATATATATATACACACACACACACAATGGACTATTACTCAGCTATAAAAAAGGATGAGATGCTGTCATTTGCAACAACATGGATGGACCTAGAAGGCACAATGCTAAGTGAAATAAATCAGAAGATAAAGACAAATACCATATGATTTCATTTATACGTGGAATCTAAAAAGCAAATTAAGAAACAAAAAGTAGAAACAGACCCACAAATAGAACAAACTGATGGTTGCCAGAGGGGTGGGGGGTAAAGAAATGGGCAAAATGGGTAAAGGGGAGTGGAAGGATACAGGCTTCCAATTATGAAGTCACTGGGATGAAAAGTACAGCACAGGGAATATATAGTCGATGGTACTGAAACAGTGCTGCATGATGACAGATGGTAGTTACACTCGTGAGTGCAACATAACACAGAGTGCTGAAGTACTATGCTGTACACCTGAAACTAATGTAACACTTGTGCCTCAACTATACTTCAATTAAAAATAAATAAAGAATTAAAATAAAAAAGAAGGAACAGGAGTTTGCAAAGCAGGCAAAGAATAGAGGGCATGTGAGACAGTGAATTGCATGTTCAAAATTAGGTCATAAATTGGGCGCCTGGGTGGCTCAGTGGGTTAAAGCCTCTGCCTTCAGCTCAGGTCATGATCCCAGGGTCCTGGGATCAAGCCCCACATCAGGCTCTCTGCTCAGCAGGGAGCCTGCTTCCCTCTCTCTCTCTCTGCTTACCTCTCTGCCTGCTTGTGATCTCTGCCTGTCAAATAAATAAATAAAATCTTTAAAAAAAAAATTAGGTCATAAATTATAGCAAGTTATTTATTCCTCTACTCTAGACTTTATCGCATTGTATTACAATTTGCTGGCTTACCTGTTTTATATAGTTTATGGCCTCTTTGAGAACTACAACTTTGTTTTTATTTTCTATAGTGCCCAGCATATAGTAAAAACCTGATATTTTTGCTGACTGAATGAATTCGTATTTTTTGGTGATTAGTTGCTTTTTCTCAATATATTAGGTTGGGATTAGGTATGCATCATAACAGGAGTTGGCTGGTGATATACAGGAGTTGTTGTTTTTAAAACAAATAATAAGCATGCTTTGTACGTACTTTTTGGGGGTATACAATCTCTTCCCGGAGAAAGGTGTTTTCTCCAGCATTCTTATCAAAGAGACCCCAGTCCATCTTCAGATCCCAGATGAGGGTATAGCAGGAACTGATGATACAAAACACAATCCAAAGGTAAAAGAATACCATGGTGTCTGAGTGACCTCGTTCTGAAGAAAGAAACGGGAAAGGTAAAAGAGAAAATTGAGAGATTTAAATAAAATTCCTCATTAAACAAAACTAATTTAAAAAACAGACTCTTTATACAGCTCCATAAAGGAAGTAAGATTTTAAACAAATTTCCCTAGTAGAAACACTGTCTAATAGAAGTTAAATTGTACCTCTGATTCTCCGGAAATACAAAGTAATCATCAAACATTTACCAAATACATAAAATTTGTACAAATGTGTATTTGGAGTTTTGGAGGTTCCATAAAAATGAATACATAAAAACCCAAATAACTGCAATGAAGTTTTGAGTATTACAAAAGATGTCATTTTAATTTTTGCCATCAGGTGGCAGATTAGGGTCAAAGATGAAAAAAAATTATGAAATACCACTAATAAGAAATGTGCTACATTTGCTTCAAGAAATTCTTGGATTGTTTTTACTTTAAAACACTTCCTTTATACTTAGATCTTGTCTATACTTATTGTGAAGGCAGTCAGATACTTTTAATTCCAGATAAAATGCCAGAAAGCAACAGAATGATTATCCTTAAGGACATATATGAAAGCAAATTTCTCTCAAATCACAAAGCAAAGCATGGTATTTTTGCTTTTTTTACAGCTTGTTTATAGATACAAATGCTGGGAACACTATAAAGTATACTAAATCAGAATAATAAAAATAATTTGCATATGTAGTTATATAATTTAGTATTTTTTACTCTTAAGTCCTTCATATATTCTCTAGTGAAATTCTTCTTTAGTAAGCTTGAGTCATCATATTATTTGTGTTCCCTGTTATTGTGCAGGATATAGGTATTAATGTGGTCCTCAATTAACAAGAAAAATGTTTGAAACATATAATTCAAAAAAGTTTAAATTTTGGTTAGTTTCCCAAAGGCATTGAAAATAAAGGATGTATCACGCCTTATCCACAATCCTTCCTATTAAAATAAGTTAAAGTCCTTCCTATTAAAACAAGTGTTTATTAATCATTTTTAGGTATTAAAAGTGTTAAGTACTGTAGGATTCAAAGGCAACCTTTAGAAATTTATAATATAGTTAAGTGGAAATAGCCATTTGTTACTGATGATAAATTTGAGCTCAAAATGAAGTATAAACAAATCACTATGAGAACATCAACAAGAATGGGAATGTTTCCAACAATAGGAAATAAAAGGAAGTAGCATTTGAGTTATTTGTAGAAGGATGAATAAACAGTGTTGCAGAAGTCAGGCAGATGAGGCAAGGACATTCAAAGCTGAAGGAAGATAATGAAAAGGAAGGAGGTTGGGAAAGTACAAGGTGTGTCTGAGGAGCTGCAAACAATCTAAATCTAGTGTGGGTGACATATGGAGATGTAAGAGAATGGGTGTGATTTAAAATGAGTCTAGAAAGGACATTTTGGGTCTGACTATGGAATGACCTCTTGGTACTCAGGATCCTATCTGTATTTTAGAAAAAATAATTAAGCTGGCAGGTTGCTTGCATCAGAATTACTTAGCTGATTTAAAAAAATATGGGTATGTTATAGTTCTAGTATTAATCAGTTCATACAAGCTCTTAAGAACTGTTATATTTTCAGAACTAAGCTGACGGTTAAACACAATTATTAAAAATTAAATTATATAAACTTACAATTAAACAAAGGTAATAAAAACTCAAAATTAATTATTTCCTAATTATTTTACTACATTTTGCTATTACCCTTTTAAGGTTATGTATGTTTTTTGTATCTGTATGATAGAACTATTATATAATGCTGTGCTACTATACATCTTTTCCCAACATTCAATATTATCTTAGTAACTTATACTGGCTATGGTAGAAGTATTTACACCATGGAAGTCAACAGACACTGCAAATCAGTATCTCCTAGCCCTACTCCTACCTAAGAGCTGGTTTGTTAAACATGTTAACAGCACATCACTGTTATCTTTTTACATAGCGGTTGAAAAGTCAGCGGTTGGACATAGAAACCAATATTTTTTCAGTGGTCCACAAGTGATGTGATACTAGTGAACAGTCAAGTTTAGATATAAACACATTTTCAGGTTTGAACTATTTTCATAAAAACTCTTCTTCACCATAAGTAAATTGGGTTGAGTATTTATTTATACTGTAACACTGCACCACATAAATGATAAGTTCAAAAGTCCTAACAAAACAGTTACTATCTAGTTTAGTTGGATGTGTTCTGATGTTTACTTCATTCTGTAGATAGACACAGTCTAGCTGAGTAGTATTATTCAATAATTAGTATCATAATTGCATTAAAAAATCTTATAACTTATCTATTAAGGGTTGCAAAGAAAATTACCAAGCAAATGTAGCACCTTAATAAAATTGTGTTCTCATATTTTCAAAACAAGATCAACACAAAGAGGTAAAGAAAGTAACTTAACTGTAAATTATATTTGCAATTCTTTTTAAAAAAATTGAATGCTTACTATGAGCCAGGCACTTCATATATATTCTCTCATATAGTTTTCACAACAACAAACCATTATTTTGTTTGCTAGTAAAAGTAACGAAATTAGACTAAAATAATAGATGCATTCAGCAAAAGGTTAAAAAATGAGTATTTCTCAAGTAAGTAGAGGTAACATCAAGTGTTATTACTGAAAGCTGATTTTCTTTTCTAATTACTAAAGAAATCATCAAGTTTAAATTATTATTAAAAGGAGATTGTGGGGGGTGGAGTTCCAAAGAAAGAATTAACCAGGAAACAAAAATTAATATGCTTGTTTTCTTTAATGTGTTCTAGATTTTAATACAAGTCCTATTCTTAGAGTATAATTCTTAAGATGGTACAGTGAGTCAACTGTCTCCCTCCTGTCTAAGCTCATATTGTTTCCATGAAATTTCTATGAAACACATACAGGCCTTCACTGACTTCAAAAAGCAAGTATTTCAACAGGATATTTTGGAATAGTGCTTTATCTTACTTTTTCAAATAATGATTAGTGTATACCCAGTCTACACGTGTTACATTTTGGTCTCTTTTTAATTATTACCCTTACTTGATCTTTCCCATCTCCCAAATGAGGAGAGCTTCTCCCTGAAATCATCTGCCTTTATTGTTATTCAGGGGATGTACTGGAAAGATATTATTTCTTTAGGCAAGCAATTACATCTAATTCTCTCTTGGCTACCTCTGGTAGCCCACTTTAGTGATATTCAGAATCATAGAAAATCAAGTCATTGCTATTCTACCCTAAGCTTCTATTACACACCTGTCATGTTAGAAGCATAATTCATACAGGAAGTATTTATGGTAATGGTATCTACTGAATGTAAAACAAATAAAAATAAGCTTCTTCAAGTTTTGTACCCATGGTTACCATAGGAGGGATAAAGCAAAATAATGTATTAGGAAAAGTGCTAAGAGAGAAACCAGAAAAATTACATATGAAGATCATCTACAACCACGTTTCGGGGAAGATATTTTTTAAAATGAAAATAGTGGCATTGTATAAAGAGAAAATGAATGGTTTCCTTTTCAAACAAAACCTTTCTACTCTGATAACAGTTTACCAGTTTCTAATCTGAAATTAAATTAAAAAATAAAATATTATACGTCCTCAGGTGATTATCATTACCATATTTATCCTAAGAGAGGCAAGAAAGACATTATTCCTATTTTATAGTTAAGAAAGCTTAAGTTCAGAGAGACAGTAAGTGGAAAGATAACTGGATTTGAAGTAGGAAGATCTGAGTCTGAATCCAGACTCTGCCTCTTTCCAACTTCGTGATTATAGAAAATTCATAATTTAAAATGATTGAGACAAAAATAGAAATCATTAGGCCTAAGGATAAATGAAGAAATTAGAAATGGGAATCTTTATCCAAGGAACTTTTTTGTACTAGACAGCTTTATTTTTCTATATCCGTCTCAATTCTAAAATGAAAAGACAGTCCATAAAACTATGAAGAAACCTTAAAAAACATTTCTAAGGTATGTGAAAAACAGAATTTAAATACTACACATATATTACTTCATATGATATATAAAATTTATGTTTATAGAAAAAGACAGAGGTACCTATGCCTGATGAAGGAAGTTAAGATTATTAAAGGGACTCACTTTTAACTTTAGGTATTTCTGTATTATTTGAATCTTATTTTTATAGTGATATATACACATCCATGTTTTACTTTTATAATTAAAAGGAAAAAGTAGGCTAAAGAAAATAGCTGCTATTAGGGTAGTGGTATTTTCCCAGGACCCTGTGATCATGACTTGAGCCAAAGGCAGACGCTTAACTAACTGAGCCATCTAGGCAGCCCTGCTATATTGTTTTCATAATAAGAAAATACTATACAGGAATTCATTTATTCATGCAACAGATATTTACTGTCTATTATAAGCTGCATTGTTTACCATATGGCTATAATACTTAAGATTAACTCGAAAGAAAAATTTTATTTCTATATTCCACAAACATGGTGAATGCCTATTAGGTAACCGGCATATTTTAGAGAATGGGGATGGATATACTGAAGAAATACTAAGGGCTAAGGGTAAAAGAAGAGATATGAAGTAAACAAAAAGATAATGTATAAGTACAACTGTAGAACTGTGTATAACAGAGGGATCAATAAACCAGGCTTTCAGGAGGGATAACAGCCAGGAAAGGCTTCCTGAAGGAGATACTACTTAAGCTGAGTCTTGAGCCACGTCAAACAGTGTAGAAGCCATCCATCCATCCAATGAATGAGTACCTACTATATGTCAGATGTTCTAGGTACTAAGCACAAGGTAGTAAATCTTATTTACTAATGAGCAACTTTCCTGTCCCTGTGAAGCTTACTTCACAGTAGGGGCAGACAATGATCAGATATACCAATAAACAAGGTAATTTTACACAGTGAAAAGTGACATGAAGAAAAAAGAACATGGTAATAGGGCTGAGACTGGTAGAATTCCTTTAGATAGTGTTCAGACAGAGAAGACCTGTAAGTTGATACCTGAGTGATGAGGAGGAGCCAGTCACAAGAA